TGGAAAATGGCAAGAATCAAAACTAAAGTATTACAAGCAGATGGAAATGAGAAATGAGTTAAGCAAGGGAAAGCCAAATGACAAGATAAACAAAGGTGGAGAGATCACCCGAGGACCTGACAAAATAAAAACTCTCCAGTACACACAAAAGGAAGATATTGGTAGGAAAAACTTGAGTACAAGAGAAGGCAAGGATCATTTACCGTCTGAAGTGGTAAACACTGCTCAATGAAAGTTAAACAAATCCTTTGCCTCCATGTCCACAAAATATGGAAAGTGCCAGAAATGGCTGTGCCCTGAAGAAGGGTCAAGGAAAAATTACTGAAGGAAACAAAAGCAATACCTGAGTTTGTGTCTTATAGGATAACATAATTGCCAGAGTAATAGGAATATTTTTTGCTACTGTAGTCAAGTTTAAATAAGCGAGCTGAGAAAAAAGCCATGTTATGCCAATTCTAATCGTGGCAGCTCCACTTCCCATCCAGCTCCCTGCTTGTGGCCTAGGAAAGCAGTCGAGAACAGCCCAAAGCCTTAGGACCATGCACCCGCACAGGAGACCTGGAGGAACTTCCTGGCTCCTGGCTTTGGATCGGCACAGCACCAGCCGCTGCAATCCCTTGGGGAGTAAATCAGTAGATGGAAGATATTCCTCTCTGTCTCTCCTCCTCTCTGTATATGACTTTCTAATAAAAATAAATCTTAAAAAAAAAGAGCCACGTTAAAATTTAGTCTGATGAAAAAGTTGTAGTCTTTCACTTTTGTTCAAAAGAATGAATTATTGGATAAGAGAAACCATCTTTTCCTTTTTCTTGCAAGACAGCCTCAGAAAAATTGGATTTATGCTAGTTTTGGAGAATGATAACACATATGGAAATATACCTGAAACCTTTTTAAAAGTACTTCTAGCAAACCCTAGAATCGTCATGAACTAGTCATTACCTATATGATCCCCTCACTCATGACAATTCCAGGGCATACTGAAGTTAGTAAGCCTGAGGTTATAGCCAATCTTTACCAGACTTCTTGCCACTGATTCAATGAAATGATTAAAACAAAGAAAAAACAAAGGTTGCATAACCCATTCATAAGCAGATACAAGTGATCTCAACATCTAATCCCACATAATAAATTTGTGATTCTACGAAACTGCTCATATGATCATGAATGCTGAAGGCTTAACTGTCTATGAGAATAAGGAAGACACAGTGCAAAAATGTCTGGCCTTGAACAAAATCCTTTGCAATAGCCCAAATTCTTCAGACTTGGGGTCATGGCTCGTGGAGACCACTGTTTGCATTGATGAACTGTATTCCTATAATTAAGGCTCCCACATATCCATTCTGAGTTCTAGAAGTGCTGTGGTGCCAGACAAACTTGGGACATGTTATGCACTTACGGAAAATTCATCTCAAGACAACGGGCACCATGGGTTGCACTCTGCTCCAGCAAGATACGATTCCCCAGCACCTTTGGCTCTTTCTCCACTGCCTTACCTCAAGAAAAAACGAGGAGTCAAACCAACACATTCGAATCCATTCAAACGGGTTTGGACTCCAACTAGGGAGTTACCACTTAGCAGGTGCCAACTCCAATATGGCAGCACTATGGGATCCAGAAACCATGTACTGCTTTTCCCTTTCCTTTCTCAGTTTTAACAGAGCCAGGTATGTATCTATCCTTCCTTTACCCTTTCCATTCTGTCCAATTGAGAAAGGATCCTCTGTTGAGATGGCCTAAAGCTCTCTTGCAAGGAATTAATCTGGCATTTGGCTTGGTTTTATTTTCGGCTCCTGCAGCATTTGGCATTAGATTAAAGAGTTCAAGGACAGAACCTGTATCTTGTCTGTTTATATAACCCCGCGAGTGCTTACCATTACCTGTACTTGAATTAGCTGTTAAAAGAGAAACAAACAAAAAAAAGAAGGGTTATCATTTGTGTGTGTGTGTGTATATATATATTCATATATACATATATATATATATTCATTCCATGAGAAAAAAAATGTGACCAATGGTGTTGAGAAAAAGTAACACTGGAGCATACAATAAAAAACAAACTCATAACTTTATGGTATCTACACAGAATTCAACACTAGCACAGTGAAAAACTGGCCAATTTCCTAAAGGATGTTATAAAAACCACAGCGTAGTAACAATTGGGAAGACACTAAACTTCAAATATTGAGATATTGTAAATGAGAAATCAAATCACTCTTCATTTTAGTTATCAGATATCTGTATGTACATTTCCAAATGTCCAAAAATGGAAAAAAATACTTAGTTTACATTGATACCAAAGGCATTAGGGATCCGGGTCAAGTTATGGAATCAATCTAAGGGTTTATCAACAGATGAATGGATTTTTTCTTAAGTCCGAAAACCACACAAAATTGAATACTACAGTCTTTTAAAAATGGATGGAATTGCAGAGTACACAGCTAACTGAATTAAGACAAACTGAACTGCACTCACAGACAGAAAGGATGACGACAAGCAGAGGCCGAGGTATTGGGAAATGGGGAGATGACAAAAGGCATAAACCCTGTTGGACAGCAGAGTAAGCAATTTGTGGGTTTTCCTTTTTTGAAAGACATACTGCACAAAGTGGCAAATACAGCCTTACAGCTGAGTACTATAACATCTCAACGTTGCTTAGAGATGTTGAATATTCTCATCACGGATGTCAAATGTCCAAATGACAGCTAAGTTGGCTGGCTTGACATGGTCACTTCACATTGGATCCTAACACCACTTTGTGTCCCATAAATATGTACAACTACAATCTGCCAATACACTTTGAAAATTAAATAAATCTCAAATAAGAATAAGGTATTTCAGGCAAGCTAAAGTCATATCTCTCAGATAATTAAAGCGTTCTTTATTTTCCAGAACTTTTTATACAGCACTACCAATGACTACAGAATTAATGTTAAGATGTTTTACTTTCTTGCTTTTTAACATCCAATTTACCATTAGAATAACATATTAACTTTTCTGGTCTTATGCTTTTAAGTAAGTGAATGATTTACTAGAACTGGTACTTCATTTATGGGCTGCTCTCATCCTAATCTGAAGGAACTGCAAATATTTATAGAAGATGAGCCACATATATTTTGTTCCTGAAAAATGTCAGAATACAACACCCCAATCCAATGCTGAACAGAAGTTCTTTCCTAACAGCACAGACTGTGGCAAATTCAACTTCCATTGACATGTTTTCCTAAACAGGTTTTTTTCCCCAGTACAATAGTTCCTCAATCAAAAACTACTGAAATCTTCCATTAAACATGTACTCACATATCATCACTGAATTATGGAGACTGAATAAATCAAAAGGAATTCAAGAACTACAACTTTTAAAAACTAGATTATTAATCTTATGAGAAAACAGTAATGAAGGCCATGTGTGAACAGATTTTCTTTCCTTTCATTTTGCTGTGATTAAAAATACTTTAACTCAACAATAAGATTTCAAATCTAGGCAATCAGAATGCCAGGAAATGAACCATCATAGCATGGCGTCCACAGTACGAGAAGTTTGACTTCTCACACACATCTCCTTAGTTCAAAGTCACACACATAAGGAGTCAGTACTAGCAGAGGTGCAAAGAGCAGCACCTTTTCTGAATGCAAGTTAGCAATACACCTAAAATCCCTTAAATTTCACATACCCATTGACCTCTAAGTCCACATTTAGAAATATGCCCAAGGAAAATGGTTACACTGGCAAGCAAGTATTTGGATACTGGAAAGCTCAAGGAACTCAAATTAAGAACAACCCAGTTTAATATCCTGGGTAGACTGCCTGCTTACAACCCCTCATGATAAACATACAGCAAATGTCTGTGTCACAAAACCACTACAGTATAATACTGTAAACCTCACGATGAGGACGCTCACTCGTTCCCACTTCTCAGCTCAGAAAAGTGAGGAATTTGTTTCAATCTGATCTGATTGCTGATTCCAGACTCAGGGGTGCTTTCAAACAACGTTGCCTCAATGTCGCGGAGCCTCTATCTCCCTCTGTGAGTCCTTCACGGGTTTCTACCCGAGAGTCTCCCAGGCACACCCCCACCAGCTGCTAGACCCTCAGCAATCTTAGGTGTTAACATACACAGCAACATCTGTGATAGTCTTTCAAATACAAAATCATTAAATCCCATCTTTTTTCCAATTCTTTCTTGGTTCCATTCAAAACACTGACAGCAGAATCTATTTTTAATTTTGCTTTCAAAGTTCATTTATTGAATTGAAAGGCAGGGTTACAGAAAGTGGGTGGAAGAAACAGAGAGACTTTCTATCCACTGATCCATTCCCCAAATGTCCTCAATAGCCAGAGCTGGACCAGTCTGAAGGTAGGAGCCAGGAACTTCACCAAGGTCTCCGTAAGTGCAGGGGCCCAAGCACTTGGGCTTTCCTCCAATGTTTTCCCAGGCCATCAGCAGGGAATTGGACTGGAAGTGGTGCAGTCAAAACTCAAACCAGCATTTATATGCTATGTTGGTACCCATAAGTAGCAGTTTCACCTGCTAACACCACAGAGCTGGCCTCAGCAGTATTTTTCATGGTAAAGAAAGACCAAAAAAAAAAATGATTTCTAAATAAAATATATTAAAGTGGGTTTTATTTTTACATAATTTCTGGCACTTTTTAAAAAATTCCTGTGGCCAGTCAGTATTGGGACTGGCTGGCTGTCACCTGAATAAATGAACAGTTCAACCTATGGAATACAGGTCAAATGATTCCAGGGCCAGGATTCCAGAGGTATTCATTTAAGAACAGCAAAGTATAAAAACTGACAGTGGTGGCCTCCAGGGAAGGAGTTGAAATACACAGTGCTGGACAAAGACTGAAATGCGGCCCCCGAAGAGTAATCAGGTCAGTGAAGTCTTTGGCCTCAGCCTCTGGTAAACTTCTGTTTCACCTTTTGCAAACAAGTTAAGTATAAGCAAAACAACACCCAACTATATAGAAAAGATATCTAAATATCAAACAAGAAATCAAGATTTTGCTTTATTTTATTTTATTTTGGATTACAAAGACAGTATCAGCAAAAACAACAGTAAAGCAATTCTCTGTGCTTCTGATTATGCGAGTGTATTTCTCCTCAGGGTTGCCAAAGAGTCCGTGTTAACTCCTTTTCTGGAAACTTCATTTTCTTAGTTGTTGTATTCTTGGAGAGCCTGCGCCATGAAGAGTTTGCCCAAGTTCTGGGCAGTGAACTCCTTGATGTTCTGGCAGTAAGTGTTGATCTGGCCTGTGCATTTGAGAGAGGGAGACAGTCGGAATGTTGCACAAATGGTAACACGAGCCTGACAACTGCTTCATATACGATCAGTACTATTTTGCTTGGTTTCTGAATGCAGAGTTCACAGTAAGAATCAAATTTTCAATTTTACCATTAGGAATGAAAAAGAGAGTAAGTTTTGGTTTGTTTAAATAAGCTACCTTCCACTCTTGCTAACAATAAGAATGGAGGGAGAGCAGCAGCATTTGAAAATGGCAATCAGTCCTGAGAACATGTTAACCGCCCATGACTTCGCAATGCCTAGGCAGATGAGAGCAACTCTGAAGGAAGACAACGGAGAAAAGGGAACTGGCTCTCCTCAGCAGGCTGCAGGCAGCTGCCCACACGAACACACGTCAGCAGTGTTGAGCACGTGCTTTGAAAATACGTAAGTGCTTCCAGGCAAGACAGCAAGAACGAAGAATTCACTCAGGAGCAGGGAACTAGAACTGATTTCAAAATCAGTGATTTCCTCTGACACCGCAGGTACATAGTTCCTGAAGATACAAGCATAATTCTTCCTGGAATGGACCTTGAGAAGGGAGATTTGTCTCAGCTTCCCAAATTTAATTGATAGAAGTACTAGCAAGTTTTAAGATTTTCCATATACACACTAAAAATGTTTCAACAAAACCAAGAAAACTGTGAAAAATTCGATTTTTCTTTGAGAAGGATTTTCACTCTGATAAAACTAGCTGAAAGAACCAAATTGTGCTTGATAACATTTGTACAGAAACTGAGTTCTCACTGAAACAGTTGCATAAATGCTATATACCCAAATCAAGTCTTAGGACACAAGATCACTTAAAAGAGGTGATAAGGGCCAGTGCATGGTCAAATGGGCTAATAATCCTCCATCTACCAGCACCAGCCCCTCTTATTTGGCACCATTTCATGTCCCAGCTGTTGCATTTCCAATCCAGCTCCCTGTTTGTGGCTTGGGAAGGCAGCGGAGAATGGCTCAAGTCGTTGGGACCCTGACTCCTTGCCCTTGGCCTTGGCTTGACTCAGCTCCAGTTACAGCAGCCATTTGGGAAGTGAACAAGCAGGAAAATCTGTCTCTCCTTCTCTCTGTAAATCTGTCTTTCCAATAAAAACAAATGCATCTTAAAAAAAAAAATAGTTGATAAAGGTTATGTATCTTTAGGCAATGTTTATTCAGAATTATCTCCACAATGTCACCATTTAACTCAAAGTAAGGGAAAAATTGGAAAAATCAACAGAAGTACCCACTGTGCAGTGTTATAAAGAGTAAACAGGCTTCAGCTACATGATCTTCTGTTATAATCTTTCTCAGCATCTTTTTGATTCAATGGAAGATGAGTCAAAAAAAAGTTCTCTTTAAAACAGCTTATATTACCCATCTCAAAAAAAAAAGTGAAAAGGCAACTCGTGTGAAGCACGAGTAACAAAAAATCTCCAGTTGCAGAAATTTAAGTACTAAATTCAAATTAATTGTTTAGCCATCTTAAATATACTGGCTTTCATGCAAAGCATATTCTTGTGTTTATCTGTTTCTCAGTGTCTCCTGCTTCCTAAGGAACAGAGAGAGGGAGCTGTGTTTTACAAGGTTAACAGTACCTGCAATAAGCAGCGAGTCCATCCTCGCAGGCGGCTGGGGTGGCTTGAAGAGTTTGGACAAGTCCTCTTCTGGGAGTGGGGGTTCACCTCGACTCTGACGCTGCATGTTCTCCTGCTGGCGCCGCTGCTGATACTAAAATTCAAAAAAGAGGGGGAAAAAGACCTCCTTTCTACATCAGCAAAATCTCACTGATCTCAATCCTATTTCGTAATTTGCTAACTTGTTTAAAGACAAGCTATGTTACCTGAATATATCATTTTGAGCTCTAAGTTTATTTAACTAATGACCTAGAAAGCCAAACGGGTTATGTAATTACCAGAGGTCTTAGAGGCAAGGAAGCTCTTAACTAGTGAGTCAAAGGGAGTACCTTCATTATTAAGACCAATGGGATAAATGCCTCAAATTAACTGTAGCAAGAAAGAGCATACTGAGCAACTACTCCCTTCTGACTTAGAGCAACAGTATCGATCATGTTATCTCTGCAGCTTTTACACACAACCACCTGTGCCTTCACTCTATAGTCAAGGATCAATGCTAGCTCAGAAAAAGACTCAGGGGCTTAAGTGTCATGACTTGGTGGCTAAATCCTTGCCTTGTCACTATCCAGATCCCATATGGGCAATGGTTTGTATTCCGGCTGTTCCATTTCCCATCCAGCTTCCTGTCTGTGGCCTGTGAAAGCAGCAGAGAATAGCCCAAAGCTTTTGGACCTGTCCCCAAGTGGAAGAACCAGAAGAAACACTTGACTGCTGACTCTGGATCAGCTTAATTCCAGTCATTGCAGGCCCCTTTGGGAGTGAATCAGTGGATGGAAGATTTTTCTTTCTGTATCTCCTTCTGTCTCTAAATCTGCCTTTCCAAGAAAAAAAAGAAAAAAAAAAAAAACTTTAAAAAAGAAAAAGACTCAATATTTCCAACCTCTGGATGTCTGTGATTCTCTGAAGAGAAGATGGGGAGAGCCATACTCAAAGGCACATATCAATGCAAACATGTACATACCAATTACAATTATGGACCTTTCCCACCAGTGACAGAGCTATCATTCCATAAACAAGTTTAAAAGGTCAGGCAATAAGAAAACAAATTGAGCTTGTAGAGTCCCTGGATTCCAATGAAAATTAAGAAAAATTACAGTTCTTCCTAAAAAGGGGGGAGTAGTTTAGCTTGTTTTGTGAAGATTTCAGTACTTACTACAGGGTACAAGACTGGAAATAAGACAACTCTAAAAAGGATTATAAAGGTTACAAGGTGGGAGTAAATATCAAATACAAAATTTTAAGACATCAGAATTTTGAATGGTACCTATAAGAGCATTTTCAGATCTAATTGTCTCATAGGTAACTGATACTCAATTTGATCCCTTAAGCAAATGTCCTTTCTATGGAAGAATATGACCAAATCAATCTGGAGCGGCCCTCTTACCTCACGAGGTTACCAAAGATTTCTAACAACCATCTTTTAGTTTAAAAGATACTTTACAGATTTACATACTCAAACATAGCAAAATCAAAGTTTTAAAATTTTCATTCTATACAAACTCCAGTGTTAAAAAAAAATGCAACCCAGTACTCTCAGATCAATGTAGTTATGCTAAGAAGTCTATATTTAATAACATGTTTAAAGCAGATTTTAATGAACACAGAGTAGTTACACATACAAACACTACTTCCACAGATAAGCATTTCAGAACCAATGTATCTCTTAAGTCAAGTACTAAGAATATTCCGAACATTACAGTCCCAAAATAATACTCCAGGAACTGTGCAAAATATCTAGGCTTCAGGCAACACTAATAAGGAAAAGGTTAAATGGCCATAGCAGGACATGTGTGCTACGTTAGAATATTCAGGTAATTCTAACTTTTTTGTCTGTATTATACTATCTATTTTTCACAGCAGTTGGTCTACTATTTCCTATCAACATTACCTACTCTTAATCACAATCGCTGAGTTTTTTTTAATGAACAGAAGATTGCTAACTATGCTGCAATGAGCCTATACCAAACCAATTATAGTTAGTAAAGAAATGGAGCTGTGACACTCTGAAATCTCTTTGCTTCTGATTTTCTCAATAAATGTATCTCTTATTTGCATAACTTTGGCATTATCCTTAGCTTAATATACCACTTCTCTTTAAGAAAAGCTATTTTTTAAGTTATAATGTAAATAATCTATCAGAAACACATTGTGTAAAAATAATGTGAAATATGATAGTTACCAGGGCACAATGCTTCACCAAAAGTAATTTAGATAATTCTGAATATGACCCCTGAAGCATACTATTTAGAATACTTGAATTTTCCCATTAATACCAACCTGATGCTTCTGCTGCTGCTGTTTACTTGTATTCCTCATGTAGGTGTTGTATTTAACAATATCTTGGCTCATTTCATCCACTCTGTCCATCAGCAACTGTAGATTCTTCCCCAAGTGATTGCTGAAACATAAAGGAACTAGAATGGCAAATTCTGCTTTAATCCATGGCTTGTCAGGACTGTGAAGTCCTGAAATGTTAACTTGATCTCCCTTTTGCTAAAAAATGAAGGCACCCAAACGTGTATAGTCAGCATGGGGGAGAGAACACAGCCTGTTTAAATTTTTCATTTTGAACCAACAACTGCAATGCGAGAAGCACCTAAAATAGCTTAATTTTTCATGGTGACATAATAAGTATGTCAAGATAGGAACTGCCACACACACCACTGAGAAGTCCCACTAAAACCTGAATTGTTCCCCTCAACACCTCCTCGCCTGCAATATATTCCAGAGCCTAGGCAAGTCATGCAGACACCTCACACCTGACTACTATGCTCACCAGGTGCTACATAGGCAACAATGGTGTTAATTCTGCAAAGCCATAAGAGGTTCCTTTCTTCCTGTCTTTTTTCTTCTAATGGTAGCAGAAAACTTCTGTCTAGAAGTTTCTGTTGTGTCTCACATACTGTAATCTCTTTATAAAGTGAGGCTGATTATTGTTACAATGGCTACTACCATCACTAATTTCAGCCTACAACTACTCCACTTTGGGAAAGACTGAGCAGCCACCACACTTGTGTGCTAAAAATAGCTTTCAAACAAAAGTAGTGGCACATTCATTAATTTAAGACATATTTAGTAACCTCCTATGATGTGCCAGCTTTGGTATTATGAAACAGAGGGAGAACAGTGAATGACACAGGATGGTCTCTATCTTCACTGAGCATGTAACTAATTAGAGTTGGAGAAGAGGAGCAGCTTTCGTTAAAGCACAGTCACATCTCCTGCTTGACAAGAGAACAGGCTGAAAGTGAGACTGAGAATCAGTCACACCAAAGTATTCTTAGTAGAAAACACCAAGTGAAGAAGGTCTCTGATGGGCAAGTAAGCACATCTGCTACCAGAAAAGGCCACCACATTAGGTGCACATGGGAAGCCCATCAGCATCACACACCTCCACACACTAAACAACGGAGATTTCCCAATTCTGATGCGAATGACTGTTTTGTTTTCAATTTTGAGATCATCACTCTGCTACAATATAGAGAGACAATGAAATCAAAACCTGGAACCTTTCTGTAGGATTCCACTGATAAAGTTCAGAACAGACAAATCTACAGGGACAGAAAATAACTACTGTCTGTAAGGGACAGGGAAGAGTGTCTGCTTAATGGTGACAAGGTGGTGAAAAGATTCTGGAATTAGTTAACATTGTCAAACACCGTAATATGCTACAAATCACTGCCTTGGGACAGTTTAAAAAGGTAAAATTGGTGAATTTATCTCTATTTAAATAACTGTAGTTCCTTAATACTACTGTGACACGCCAAAGATAAGAAGTGGTAGCTTCAACTAGGTTTGTGGGCAGTGCCCAGAGTGAAGGGAGAAGAACTGATCTGGAGGCAAGCTGGTGATCTCTGACAGGGAGGGGAAGTCACAATGAATGCTTCATTTCCTGGCCTGAACAGCCAACTGGGTGGTTATCACATTTACAAAAAAGGAAAGGCCTAAGGAATAAATGGCTTTAAAATAACAGGCATGAATATAAATAAGTCTACTTAAAATATGGATTCTGTCTGTAACCTCAACAAAATCAGAAAGCTCTGCCTTCTTCTCAAAGTGAAGAAAGAGCACAGACCTGATATGGAGGAGAAATTTATCTCCTCATCCCCGTCCACCATTTCCTCAGTAACTAGGGCCCAACAATCATGCTTAACGACTTCAACTGTCTAAAAAACTAAGTTTTAATGTTTAGCTGTATTTCATATTTATCTTATTTCAACAGTTTTATGAACCAATTTTAATGTTAAAACATTAACCCCCACCTAGGATGGCAGGTGAGTACTTATTCCTATCTCCTTCCAGTTAACAGTTCACCGTTTTACAGGAAACTCTAGGAAGAGTTTAATAATACCACATCTCACATTGTTTCGGCCCATATTACTCAGGACATACTTTCAAGTCACTGCAATATAAACCAAGCATTAAATTATAAAAGATATTGTTGACCTTAACGCTACAAGAAGAAAGGAATGCAAACATAAAAATACAACAGAAAACCAGTAAAAGCTACAAGAATTGTACCACAGAAGAATAAAGAATACTTCGGTAGCATTATGTCAAAACTTTTCCTGATTATAAGATCACTAAATTTTGGGATTTTGAGGAGGGGTTAGAGACAGACGGGCAAGAATGGAAAAGAATATATCAAAGATAATGGTCACAAACCCCATGTTCCCACTTAGAGAACACCCCATGAAAAGTGTCAATAATTAAATACAGCAGGAACCCTACTGGGAACACTGAGAAGAACTAGGAAAAGCAGAAATACAAAGTAAGGGAGGCAAACAAAGACCACGGTCTACAGACCTGGAAGCTGGACTGTATGTTTAGCTCTTACTCTAAGAACAACAAGGAAACACAAAGATTTTAAGCAAAAGAGCAGTATGAGCACACAACTTGAATTTACTAAGATCACTTAACTCAGGGGAAAAAAAAGAAAACTCTAAAAATAATCAGCAAGAAAAAATTAAAAGGTCCCAGCCTAAGATAGCGAAGGACACAGCAGACAAAAATTACCCCAGTAATGCATATGGGTTGGAGTAGGAGAGAAAACAGGTCCTGAAATATCTAGGGATTGGCAACAAAGTTCACTCAGTTAGAGAGAGAGAGAGAGAGAGAGAGAGAGAGAGAGCCAATCTACAGAGCAAAATTTTGAGAGAAAAAAACAACCAGGTTGGAAGATTGGGTTATCAATGAGATAAGGCCTGAGAAACAACAACTGTGACAAGGAAGCACATAAGAGGGAAGTAAAGGTTAAAGGCACTCCTGTAATTTGGTGAGAGGTCAATGCTGCACAATGGTATATGGTGTAGTACGAAGTGTTGGGGACAAGTGGCAAATAAGGAAATATGGTGATGTATAGAAATTCCTATGAAAAGTTCATCTTAAAAAAAAAAAAACAGGTGAAAATACAGCAAAATGGCAGGAGATCAAAAGTTATTTTTTGAGTGTTTAAGTTTTAAAATGAGGTAGGCTTACAAGTTTACATGTCCTTACTTTATGAAATGTGCACTTAAGAATTTAGAACTTGAAAGTCATATCTAAAATTTACTTCAAATGGTTCAGAAAAAGTTATCTAGATAGATAAAGAGGTGTGGCTGTAGCAAACATACAACTGATGAATTCATGTAAAGGTTTTAGGTTGGGTGGTCACTGTATTCTTTCTTCATGTCTAAGGAGCTGAACATAAAAAACAACGATTTTAGTGAGAAAAGTCTAAGAAATAAACAAACAAAAAAGAGAAACAAAATCTGAGGGAAGGCAGGGAGGATCAATAGGGCAGGAAGAGAGGATGCCACTGGCCTGCAGAGGCATGGGCCAATCAAAGAACTAAGGCCTATAAAGCTTCATGAAGTCAAAGAAATGCCCCTAGCCACAGGATGAGTTTCTTATGTTGAGTAAGTTACTTATGGCCATTTAATACAAAAGGAAATCAAAGAAAAAGTTGAACTCTGTGGTTGGGAGGCTATATAAAGATAAATGACAGAAGAGAAAAACAAGGGAGAGAGTGCAGCAAAGTGCAGAGGAAAAGCTATTATTTGTACCAATTTTTAACAGACAACAGACACTAATTTTAGCAATGATGTAGTATTAAAACAGATCCACCCTTTCCACTAAAAATGCTTTAAATATAAGGTGTACCCAACCTTGCTCTCCCGCTATACAGTTCACATGCAGACCAACAGGTGTTGTAGCCCTGCCTGGCCTGCTTTGTCCCAGTCATATTCCCATGGTTCCCAGTGAGAGCAGTTGACCAGCAGCAGAGCCCATGCTGCCTGCCTACCAGGCTCACACTCTTTCCACAATATTTCAGATGGACTGGTGGGTGCTGCGGGCCAGTCTGGCATGGCCAACCTTACCTCAGCATTTGCTGGCAGGTAACCTGGCCTGGTCTGCACTTGCTGCCAGCTCATACAGGGGGGTGCTGCCACCCAACCTGGCTCAGCCCTAATGTGAACTAGGCTAGTGCTGTGGCCTGACCCAGCTGTCCTGCACCTTATCCTGCCCCCAGACATGACCCGCACATATGCCAGCTGGTACTGTACCCAGCCTTCATTCTTGCACTCAGCTGCAGGAACCGATCCTTGACAAACGAGTTCCCCAAGCTCCTCTATCAGCTTTCCTCTTATCCACAGATGTCGCACACACCAGTGGGTGCTTGGCCCAGCCTGACTTGGCATACATCTTGGGCTGGAAAGTACCACGGCTCTGTTCAACCAGCCATCCATCCCAGTTCTTACTGCTGGGAGTTACAGCCCAACCACACCTGATCCACGCCCCAACACAACTCTGAAGCAGTTCAGTGGGAGCCAAGACCTATCGCAGCCTGTTTTACACCCATCCTGGCTCTCCTGAGCACCAGTGAGTGCTGGAGTCTAGCCTAGTCTGGCACATCCCAAACTCAGTCCAAACCTATATTGAGGGACACTACAGCCATGTCCAGACCAGACAGCAGTTCCCATTCCAACTCTCACACTCACCAGTGGGAACCACAATCCAACCTGGGCATCCCCTTAGCTCCCCAATAAGGCCTGTTCCCAGCCACAGATCTCATGCATGCCAATGGTTGCCTGGCACAGCTCAGCAGAGCCCACTCCCTCTCTCAGCCACTGCCATCTGATGCTGCAGCCTAGTCCCAATCATCCCCTAGTCCCAACTCTTGCTGAGAGGTACTGGAGCCCAACCCAGCTCCCATCCCTGACTCACGCAAGCTGGAAGGTGTGACAGTCTAGCCTGGCATGTTCCATACTCCAAGCTGGCTCCTGCACATGCCAGTGTCCTAAGGTTTGGCCCGACCCTGCCCAATCTGACTTCTTCAGAAGCAACTCACATACTTGCCGGTGGGTGGAACTGCCTTGCCCAGCCTGACCACTACCCAGGCCTGAATCATGCTCATTAGCAGAACTATGTCCCACCTGCCAGCTCAAGCTTCCCCACCAGGCTCACTCCCTGGAATAGTCTGTGCCCTCCCTCCTGGCCTATGTCTGAAATGGTAGATGCTGCGGCTTGGCTCAACCCAGCCCACAACCTATTCTTGGGTGTGCTGCAGGTGCTACAACATGGACCAGCGCAGCCTGTACCCAACCTCAGTATCCATGAGTGTTTGAGGCATCCAAGGTCATGCCTAGCTCAGGCAGTCACCACCCCCAGCTCTTAAGTGAACCATCAGTTGGGAGACTGGATGCAGCTTCTCCACATGTCTACCCCCTTTCCCCAGATACTGGAGAACAAAAAACAACAAAAAAAAGAAAGAAACAATGGTCTCACCCACTTTCCACTGACCCTGAATCCTTCCAACCTGATCAACTACATGAATACCATCAATCAATAAACAAATAAGGTATTACCACGCTGCTATAAGCACACAAATGTGGGTTTTTCAAGATATTGTAAGCATTCATAATACAAATCAGAAACACTTTAAAAAAAAAACTCTCATACAATATATGTGTTGAAGGGCACCAGGAATTAAAATAAGTAACTATTTCAGATTATCCACAGAAAATTAGACCCACTACCAAGAACAATTTGGTGTGGATTTTTTCAGTATTAGTTCAACCAGAATATTCAAACAAGGAGTTAACTGTTACAAGTTTCTATAACATAGTCTTCTATTTTATTGCCAAGGAAACAAAGAACTAAGAACAGTTAAGTTAAACAGATGCGAACCAAGACATGGAATGTTAAGTCTGTTTGGGCCAAAAAATGCACTTACACTTATTATCCTTAGTGGGTGATGCCCTCCCTTCGTTGACTTTTTCAAAGGAAGAAATAGAAGCAGAACTGCTTTTCATGTGTGAAAAGCTCAAGGCCTCTATTACACAGAAAATAGTGAAGGCTATTGTGGTAAGCATTACTAGAATTTCCACATAATAAAATTAAATTTTGAAATTAGGGTTTGCTTTCCTTTAAATGAAATGGAATACAGTGTTTTGATGTTTTTTTTTTTTTAAATAACATAGGACAAATTTATCAGGTAAATCAGAGAACTGGTATCCACAAAATGAGCTGTGAGGGGAAGACCAGCAGGGGCTGTGAAAGGATGATTCTGTGGACAACTGGCCCAATATCAGTGTGCTGCTAGCTTGCATTAGGAAGCAAGAACTGAGAGGCACTGAGTCCTGAACAATGCTGTTATCAATGGGACTCCACGGAACTGCACACTGATAGGAAGCACTGCTTCAAGGATGCTTGATTCCGCTCTCCCAACAGGAACAGCAATCACCCTCCCTGTCACTTCAGGTACACAGCAAAAGGCTCCACAAAAAAACACAAGACAAAACTGTAACGAAATATTTCTCTAGATTTTAGCTGCTCTGACAAACAGAACATTATAGATCAGCTCAGAGGCAACGGACGTGAAAGCACAAAGTGGGCTGTTACTTGTTTTGTGGCCTCAAGAAAGGAGACCTGAGAAAAAGGTGAAGACATGGATTAAACAAGCCTGAGTTTTCAAGTAGTAAATTTAAAAGTATTACATAGCTGAAAACATAATAGATCAAATTGTGACCTTGCTGGTTGAAAAAAAGTTCTTAAATCAATGCTTTAAATATAGGTGTGATGAGTGTGTTTGTAAAAGTAACACAAAAAATATGACCTTCTAAAATACACAAATTAGAAAACTAGTCTGAATATATGTTTGTAGTCAAACAGCACACTCTGGTGCTTTGCAACCTGGTTTCTTTGGTTAGCACTCTATTCACCATTCAGTTTCCACCTCCCTGCCCAGTAAAGACTTCTTGGTGCTTGCAATAATGGATTCCTGGGCCAGAAGGTGGTACTCCACCACTGCTACCCACACCAAAGCATGAAGGACTCTGGATTTGGTCCTAACAAACCGCTACCAAAGAGGAACAAAGCTTGCAGGCTCTTTTTCACAAGCTTTTTTCTAGGACAACTTCAAGCCTGACAAATAACTTTTTCTGCTACAAACTGGTTGCTTAGGAAAACACATCCTGTTTCTTCAAAGACCAAACATATATTGATTGCTCACTCTTTCATGTCATTTTATAGGTCTGCTGCTACTCCTCTGCCGTCACACAAGCATACACACATATATGTGTGTCACACAAGCATACACACATATATGTACACAGACACGGAGCTGAAAGAGTATTTAAGGGGAACTCTAGAAAGCAACTCTGTTCATGTTTCTACTAAGACTAGGAGTCGGGAAGAGGGAGGGAAGGGAGAGAAGAGGCACTAATAGCATATGAATGTCCAGTCAGCATTGTAACCAATAAGCTTAATAGTATCTTATCAGTGAGGCAGCTAAGGTAGTTACGTTGAAGCAAGTCATGTCATTGTTCTGTAAGACAGCAAAAGCCAGTGTCAGAATCAAAAAAGCCTGCTTTTAGCTGGAAACTAGAAGTTTACTACTGACAGAGGTTGTGTGTGAGCAAGTGCAAATGTAAGAGAGAGCAGAGCTCCTTTTTCCCTGAGCATTATTAAATACCCAGACACAATGCCACAGGCCTCCAGGGAAAGTGCACAATAAATAAAGCTGAGTCAAATAAAAAAGCCCTCCCCTGTGGGCATTTACCCTATCCAAGCACAAATGATACTGCAAAGGCAGCAGCAGATCTTACAACAGGAACCGTTAGCATTCAAACAACCGCTTCACTTCATCAGTCCGGCACTGCCCAAGGATTCTAAGACGGCTAGACAAACATTACACAGTTTTACACACATCTTGGTAGCCTCAAAATGGTCTTTCTTAAGTGATTTTTTTTTCTTGTTTCACAGATAAGCTCTAAGTAACAGGATGGTTTTTGCAGCAAGTGACTGGGGGTGGGGCAGCACCCATGACTTTCATTAGGTAGGGCCACTTACCTGCTGGCAAGACTGAGCAGCTCATGCTTGTCTGCCACAGCCGACTTCTTCTCAAGCTCCCACATTAGGACATTGATCAGATGTGAATTTTTAATTACGATCGGCACTTCTTCAAACATGTGCTCAAAGGTGATATTTGCCTTCTTCAATCTGTGAAGCATGTTAAAAATACGTTAGCCGGGTGGTCAGAAGTAAGTGCTAAATTGACTATTTCATACATTCTGCCTAATTATGGGTCCTCTCTAAAATCTTTGCCTTACTAGCAGTCCTCAAAAAGAGGGTTGGGGGGTGAGTGAGCTTGGGGGGAAATAGAAACTAGATCGTACAGAGCCGAAAGTAAGTGAAAATGACCCGTATTTAAGCTGTTAGCCCAGAACATAAGAATCCTGGCAAGAGTCTATTCATTCTTCATAATCCGGCACTTTAAAAATGTTACTGATACTGAAACATACACGTCACAGTAAGTTATGCTACACAATCTATGTTTAAAATATTTAAAGTAAATAAAAATAACTCCAAGTTTTGCAAAGTTAATTTTAAAAGCCTCCTAAACTAAAACAAGCACAACTAGATCACTCACAGAAGATACAACAGTTCAAAACCCACAAGCATGAACGTTTTTATAGTTTAGCCTTCCTGTTTTAATTTTATGCACCTTAATTATTTTCAGGAACAAACAGGAAACTGAAGATGAATAGTTCTATATCAAGAACACACACAACCATATACTTTATCACAGAAATAAAAATTAACATATTCTAAATACTTCAACTTTTAAGGCAAACATTTAAGTGCCATTAAGCAGCATCACTAAAACAGGGCAATTAGTTGCATACTCGTCACTGACACAATTTCCAGTAAGCCCCATTCTTTCATAAATTCGCCCCATTCTTTCATGAATTCTTCGTTTCTAACTCCATAAGTTGGTCCCACTCACAGGAGACAGGAGCCCAAAAGAAGAGAGAGAGTTCACAATAGTGGCCGCTGGCTACTTTTTCCATCTCCCCTTATTCAATCATTTACTTCTTCAAATCCAACAGCTAATTAATCACCCTTAGTGAGAACAAAAAATTCCATAAACAATTTAAACATGGGAGGGGAGAAATCAAGTAACGCTTGGCACGTAGGAAACTTCTGCACTCCACTCCACATGGCGAAAGCATTACTACCCCACAACAGTAAACGTGGCAACCTAGTCTCAAATAGCCAGTTCTTCATCACAAGTCTCACAGGCCCCTCAAAATCACTTACGCTTCGGGGGAAAAATCCTTCTCTTTACAAACTTCCATCAGCTTAGGAGTCAGTCTGTATGCCTTTAGCGACAGAGACCCTTGGGCCGTTTTTATGGGATCTTGAATAAGAAAAAGAGAAATTGCTAAGAACTGTGTTATTACCAGTGCTCATACGAGATGGATTCTGCTGTTTATCACACAATCCTTTAAGATGAAAATCAGAACACAACTTCAAGCAGACTGAAAGCAGCATAGCAACCAGGTAAAAGCAAAATTCTAAGAATCACTTTATCTTTGTAATAGGTAAAATAACTTGCTCCCATTAAAATAAAAACAGAGGATCCAAGAGAATTGATGTTTCTGGATTCAGTCCTCACCAAAAAGCAGGCAGCTGTTGAAAACAACATCAGATTCTATACATCTTGTAAAATTAGAGAAAATACTGAAAAGTACTAAACATACAAATCTGTGCTACATGTAGCTGTGCTCTTCAGTCAACTGCACTGAAAACGTCAACAAACTTTATCCACCCAATAATCACTGTTCACATTTCTTAATTAAAGCAGATTCTAAAAACACAACCACTAAGTCAGAATGTTATCACAGAAATGTGTTTTTAAGTTTCAGAGAATCGAATTTTGTCAAAACTAACTGCTTAAACACTCCATGAGTAAGGGAGCTTAGCACTTGCAGCATGATAACGGCTCTGGCATGCCAATATTCGCCTAAAACCTGTGTTAACATTCATGTTGTCTGAAATTTAACACAGTGAAACTTTTAGCAATAGGTGATAAAATGAAAACCAAAATAGATTGAAACAAGTGGAAAATTCATCAAGGTCTGATGATGCAATGTTTCCAGCCAATATAAGTACACTTTAACAACTTGTTCTTTACTGTAATCCAATTGTTAACATACTGAAACAATTTTGGGGCAGCTCATAAGACTGATCGTATTCATTAGTATTTTTTCTGACAGATACTCAGGACGTTACATTTACTTCTCAGCTGGAAACTATATGCAAGTCTGCCAGATATGGCAAACTGCGAGTGTTTGGGGAGGGGGAGGCTATAAAGCTGTTAAATTGCCTACAGTTCTGATACAGCACAGAACATCTGGTCTGGAGAGCTTGAGGAAACACCATTAAATAGGCCGAAAAGAAAAAAATCTTTGTGCTAAGAAACAGTCCAGGTTTTGTATGCTGCTGTCAGAGGTATTAAAAAGAGAGAGAGAGAGAGAGAGAGAGAGAGAGAGAGAGAGAGAGAGAGAAAGAGAAAAAAAAAATGTTGGCAAAATGTGTTATGATTGGTCAGTCACGTACAGAGCCAGACACTCGAGCAATCGGGGTTTGTTAGACATCTGGTCTAGTTCCACCAGCCCCTTCAATAAGGGAGGGGAGGTGGAGGAATAAAAATGAAGCAGCTACTCCAGCATTCCAAAACGTACACATCAGGGCTCTGATAGCAAGAAAAACAAACAGAAAGAAGGAAACCCTGTCTAGACGGAGCTGCTGCTCGGGCTGCTGCAGAAACGAGCTTGGTATTTACTTGAGAGGGCCTGCCAAGCTGCTCTCAGAGAGAGAGAGAGAGAGATGGAAATCAAAAATAGTAGTAGTCATATTAAAGCAAGAAAAGAATATTAGCGGAATCTCCTACTGACCATAAATGAGAACCACAGATTCTTCTATGGCATGCTGGTAACTGAACTGAGAATCCAACAGGGCCCGGGTGACGAATGAGCCGTAGTACGTGGACTGGTACCAGCCCACGTGGAGGTGGTCGATGTTCACATGGCGGAGGCTTCGCATCATCTCCATCTGATACTGAACTGGATGGCAGGAGGGGGAAGAGGGAGGGCAGATAAAAGGGAAAACAAAACCTTAATGATGCCACAAATAAGTCTTTCTGGAAATTTTTTTTTAATGTTAACTATTTATTAGCTTTAAGGAAAAGTTTTCCAAATTTAAAAGTCATTATTAACCTTTTAAATCACCAAGGTTTTCCCTTCTTAATGAAAAAACATTTTTAGAAAAAAATATTAAAGGCACAGTATTAATGCTTTGTTCTAAACAGTAAAGTATTTATTAAATGAAATTTCCACTCTCCTTTTCAAACCTTTAAAAATTGCAAGTATGTAGGGGAAAAAAATCTATACAATTATTAAAGTAGTGATTATAAGAAATTTCGTTCTTATATGGTTCTAAGAATTTTTTTTTTTGGAATTTAAACAAAATCAAGAAAATTAAAGGAAAACAATTAGCTGCGACATCACACACACACACAGATACAGGCCGCAGCTGAGTTAAAATGCAAGCATTCATTTTTGCCTTCATCTGGTGCCCCCTGCTGCATAAACCAAGTGTGCAAAGGGATTCCAACCCTTGCAATCCTCTGTGTAAGTAACAGACATTATTCCTTCCTCGCAGTAGAACCACATCTCTATCAATGTATGGAACAAAAGTTTACTTATCTCAACAAGTATAATGTATGGTACTAATTTAAAATAGTATTATTAGAAAAAAAAGGTGCAAAAATAACATTTCTAAGACAGATACACAATATAGGAGAAAATTCAAGTTCTTTTCATCCTAAGGAATGCATAACCATGCTGAGTAAAAATGCTTAATGCAAAACCCAATCATTTCACAGATTTTAGCAAAAGTAAAGTTGTATCTCATTCCTTTGATTACAGTGCTCCAGTTTATTAAAGAGTTCAGATCACAAAATACAAAAGAACCTCCCTCAAGTGAATACTTTCATCAGCAGTCATTACTAGGCAAATAAATATTACATCTGCTTATTCAATAGAGGTTTGTAATTTCCAAGTCAAAAGGTGGTAGCCAACATACCAACTACTCAAGAAATAACACTGTTTAAGTTTCTCTTTTGCTGACCAAGTTAAGAGGAAAGACACAGATCCTTTACTTCACGGGGCTGAAGAGGGGCCTTCTTCAGCCGCTGAGAAGGCTGCAGCGCAGCGGGAAGCTCTACCACTCCCAGACGTACTTCAAGTGGCTCTGTTGAGGAAGTAGGTTCGGCTCATTCATAAAAGGGGGTAAGTGTTAACATAGAGATGATCTGACTAGTATCTCTTATTTTTCCATACCTAAGCAGTATTTCTGGAAATAGCTTAAAAAAAAAAAAACAGAACTTGTGCTATATTCTAAAGCACTATTTTTAAAAACTTAACCATCTTGTAAAACTTTTTAAATCAATATGATATCCTAAAGCTGTATGCAATTATACCATAAGCAAAGGTCACTTTCAGTTAAAAAAAAAAAAAAACAATCTGGAATAGAGAGATGTGGACCCTCCCATCTCACACGGAGGCCTTTCTGCCCAATGAATCATCATCCCCCAAAGTTTCGTCTTCCCATCTTGAAAGAGATTCAAGAACTCATTCATGTCAGTCAAAATGCTATAATCCCACACTGTTCACTGGAATACACAAATTATTATAATAAGAATTTTTCTAAAACAGGGCTTCATATATTATGATATGAAATAAAAACAAATTTCTCAGGAAAATATTTTGTAATCTTGCTACACCTCTCCTCAAATAGCCTGAATACACTAGATCTCCTAACAGCACTAAGAATTCACGAATTAAAATGGTCTAGGACCGTTCATTTTACGTAGCATCGTGGAGGAATTTTTAAAAATTTAAAGGTCAACCTCAATGACTGGTGAATAAGTGAAATTGCTTTTAAAAATTTACAATTTATTGGAATTTTCCTGTTAAACATAATAAAATACACACGGGCCTCATCTATGTAAACTGTCAGGACATTCTCTATCAGGGCTTGGGCTTATCACTCAGATTTTCAAAATTAAAAACACACCATTAGATAAAGGCATCCCTCAGAGGCACTTCCCAGCATATGTTAACAATTAAATGTCCAAATAAGGGCTGCAAGTTAGTCTTGAAAAGGTGAGGACATGCTAGAGCTACAAAGTGAAGGTACAGTGTGCCAAGGGCTGGTCCAAAACATACATGCACAAAGAGGTCACTAGGACTTAACACAATAATTAACAAAAGGAACTGATATACTTTGATGATATACTAGCCAAGAAACATGAGCTACAGTTCCCACTCAGCCCAGACTTCCAGGAGCATGGTCTCCACCGCACTGCTGACATGACTGGGCAATGTGCATCTCCCTTCACTCAGCATTTTTCCTCCTCCTGCTCTCACCTAGAGTTACAAATAGTACACAATCAGCCCCAGCAAGTTTTCAGTGGTAAACCTAGGTAGGGCTAAGAAAAGCACAGCTGGCCTGTCCCACGGAAAATGACACTCCTAGCAGCCACAATCAACCAAATGAACCAGCTGCCATCCACTTAACCCTCCATCCACACCGGTGATTTGACACGGGAAACAAAGGCTGGTCAGTCAGTCAAGAGCCTAATCATCTGAACAACATCTTCTATCATAGTTTTTGGGCTAGGATAGTGGCTCTCAAGAGTTGTATTGGGAGCAGATGTGTAAGATGAACGCAAGACCCTAACCGGCTGGAACACTTAGTAAGGTGGAGGAGGGAGGAGCCTTCCGCTACCTGAAAGTGGCTATGGTTTTGATGCCCCATCACGTGCAGCTCACAGGCCCTGACGAATGTCAGGTGGTGCTATCTGCCTCCTTACATGCAGTCACACCTGCATAAGCGCTGCAGTTTTTCAAAGAGTATATAAAACAAAGAAAGAGAGCATCCTACATAGAGCGGCTTGCACCTCAGAAAGAGAATCACACAAAGGCAGCCCCTTGCCGGCAACGCGCCCCGCGGCTTCCACTGCCTCCGGAAGCTCAATGCACACGGCTGCTCCGGTCACTCTACCGCTCACATCCACCAGAACCCAAAACAATTCAATGACATTCCCTTCTGTGCTATAGTTAAACATTACTGGGGGGAAAAATCCCAAAGATGGACAGAGAAGAAAAAGATCCTTTTAGGGAAGAGACTATTTAAAACTTTCCAATAATGTCCGGCAGAAAGAGCTTAGGATATTACAATAAATTTAGGAAAGAACCTTTTAGTATTCTTGTTTAAAGAAGCAAACATCCTACTGAGAAGCCATATGCAGCACATGAATTATGAAGACAAATTAGTAGTTCCTACTAAGCCAACTCAAATTACAAAATTGGGAATAACTGTAAAAATGAGCTAAAGTTTTGGAAATATCTTCAACGTCTACAATTTTCTGAATTGGGTAAGCCTCTCCCAAGCAGAGCAGGGCCTGGTCTACAACAGGGAAAGGGCTCCTTGCACAGCACACTCACTCACTGTTTCCGGATACCTTCTTTGTCAGACAAATCTAAAATGCCCAAAATGAAAACTGCCTTAATTGAGGCTGAAGGCCTAAAAACCATTCCTTTCAAAAAATCTACCACAATCCATAGGCTTTGTCTTGTTTTATCTGCCAATACAAAAATACTGATTTGAATGTTGCAGCTGGAGTTATCCTGACAATCACCGGAAATGACAATGGGTCAGACATGCCCAGTTAGGTAAAACAACTAACCAGTATTCTTTTTACCTTAATTCTTTACCTGTTTTGAAAGTATTTTTTTTTTAAATCAGGGAATGGGGGGGAGGGGGTGGTTAATTGGAAAGGCAGATATACAGAGAGGAGGAGAGGCAAAGAGGAAGAACTTCCGTCTGATGGTTCACTCCTCAAGTGACCACAACAGCTGGAGCTGAGCCAATCCGAAGCCAGGAGCCAGGAACCTCCTCCAGGTCTCCCATGCATGGATGCAGGGTCCCAAGGCTTTGGGCCATACTCCACTGCATTCCCAGGCCACAAGCATGGAGCTAGATGGGAAGCGGGGCCATCGGGATTAGAACTGGAGCCCATATGGGATCCAGGCGCATTCAAGGTGAGGACTTTAACCACTACGCTATCACGCCGGGCCCTTAAAAGCTTTTTGATACTATGATTTTTAAATTTTTGCCCCCAAGGCAAAACTGTTCAGTGAAGAAGAATGAAGAACAAATACTGCCACCACGGAACAGACTGGGACGAGGTAGGAGGAGGGGATGAAAACTGCAGCACAGGGACCTGTGCAGTGGCATATGGAGTAGTCCTCCATAGGCTGCACCAGCACTCCATAAGGGCGCCATCCCACAACTTCCATTTCCACTTCCACCCCAGCTATCTGCTAAGGGCCTGGGAAAGCAGCAGGGATGGTCCAAAGTCTTGGCCTCCAGCACCCACGTGCCAGACCTCAGAGAAGCTCCCAGTTTCCGACCAGTTCAGCTCCAATCACTGCAGCCATCTGGAGAGTGAACCAGGAGATAGAAGCTTTCTTTCTTTCTTTATCTTTCTCTCTCTCTCTCTCTCTCTCTTTCTTTCCCTCCCTCTCTCTCCCTCCCTCCCCTCTTCTTCTCTCTCCCTGACTTTCAAGCAAAATTCATAAATCTTAAAAACAAAACACAACTGCAACAACCACAACAAAATGTTGCAACACATCCAACAAGCAAAAATCTTACCTAGAACCTTAAGAACAAGTTCCTCAAATTTCTTATTAGAGAACTCATCATGTACAAAAAGCAATTCAAATTTAAAAATATTTAAAACACTTTAAGAGCACTATTGTTTTAGTGAGTTAATACTTTATCACATCTGGATCATTTAAACATACATTAAAATAAAAGTTATTTTTTAAAGGCACAGAGAGACCGGAGGGGTAGGAAGGTGGAGGCGCAGGAAACCAGCACTCGCTGAGTGCAACGCGCCCTACACGTGTTCTCCATGTTCTCCACACCAACCACCGAGCTGCCACAGCCACGGGCCCTGCAGCAAAGCTCTTTGCTAAGGCTTTGACTCCAGCTG